AATCAAGTGAATTTTGCTGAGTGATGGTGGTGCACTCCTGCAGAGGCAGGCAGATCTCTGATTTTAAGAGATCCTGTTAAAGGATCTGTTGCAAATTCCAGGCCAGCTTAGTGGGACCCTGCCTCAAAAAACAAAAAAAACAGGGAGGGGCATGTGACAGGCAACTGCAGTGTGACCAGGTAGGCTAGAAATGCTAACTGAGGACATGCTTGTTAACTTTAAAGCCAAGACCTGACAGAGAATGGTGAGAGCACTGGACATGTGCTGGGAGAAACTAAAAGAACCACAAGTGCAAAATATAGAGATGGACGGGGCAGTGGTGGTGCACGCCTTTAATCCCAGCACTCGGGAGGCAGAGGCAGGCAGATTGTAACAGCTAGCTAGTTTCAGTACAGCCAATGCTGTTACATAGAGGAGCCCTGTCTTGAAACCTCCTCCCCAGCTCCCGAGAAAAAGAGTCAGAGAAGTCAAAGAAAATAGTTTTGTGTTTTTACCGTTAAATAGTTGAAGTTCTCAGTCTGAATTAGGATGAGAAGTGGTATACAGATGCATCGTCTCTTAACTTTTTATGGTTTAAAAAATAGTTTTTATACATTATGTAAAATAATGTGTAGTCAGTAAAAATCAAGCTTAAATTTTTGAATTTTGATCTTTATTGATAATTCTGGTAGTTGCTGAAGAATGGCAGCAAACTCCAACTCCCAGACAATAAGATCAGGGAAGACAGCTGATAGTTTAGCAATATAATACAATATAAAGTTACCTAGATTAAGGGGGCTGGAGAGATGACTCAGAGGTTTAAGAGCATTGCCTGCTCTTCCAAAGGTCCTGAGTTCAATTCCCAGCAACCACATGGTGGCTCACAACCATCTGTAACAAGGTCTGGTGCCCTCTTCTGGCCTGCAGGCATACACACAGACAGAATATTGTATACATAATAAATAAATAATATTTTTTTTAAAAGTTAGGTAGATTAAATGCAATTCTGCCCTGTGGTTTTGATGTTTTTTTTTTTTTTTGAGACAGGATTTCTCTGTAACAGTTCTGGAACTTGCTTTGTAGACCAGGCTAGCCTCAAACTCAGAGATCTGCCTACTCTGACTCCCCTGGGATTAAACACCAACACCAACCAGCCAGTTGATTCTTTCTTGTTTGTTTTTCAAAACAGGATGCAGTGGCATTTCATTTGTATTTTAATAAATAGTAAGCTTGTCTGAAGATCAGAGAGTGAAACATTTCCACTGGTCAGCCTTACAGACCAGGCAATGGTAACAGACACCTTCAATCCTAATAGCAACACTAGTTGCCATAGAAACCGGTGGTGCATTCCTTTAATCCCAGACCTAGAGAGGATTGTAAAAAGGGAGGAGGGGGCTGGAGAGATGACTCAGTGGTTAAGAGCTATTGCTCTTCCAAAGGTCCTGAGTTCAATTCCCAGCAACCACATGTGCTCACACCATCAGTAATGAGATTTAGTGCCCTCTTATGGTCTGCAGGGATACATGCAGGCAGACCACTGAATACATAATAAATAAATATATCTAAAAACTAAAACGAGAGGAGACAGCTCTCAGTCTCATTCTGAGATTCCTGAAGGGGCAGGATTGTCCTTGGACTGAGGTCAAGGTAAGGTAGCTGCTGGATGCTTTGCTTTTCAGATCTCCAAGTTGAACCTCAATTTCTCTGAGTTGTTATTAATAGTGCTTCAACAGACTTTCTCTGTATAGCCCTGGCTGTCTTAGAACTCGCTCTGATTTGTTTGTTAAAATGAAGTCTCATTCTGTGGCACAGACTGGTGTGAACCACACTCATGATGACATCAGTATGTGGTAATCTACATTCCTTGGCCTCCCAAGTGCTGGGATTACAGGCATGTGCTAATATACTAAAAAAAATTTTTTTTCTATTCCCTAAACCCTGAACATGATGTGTAGGATATACTTAACATTTATGGGTTGATTAGATGGGCAAGAGATATCAGCATATGAAAATACATAGTACTAGGGAGATGTACTATTGATTTTATTTTATTTTTTTCTTTTCTTTTCTCTTTCTTGAGACAGGGTTTCACTGTGTAGCTTTGACTGACATGGAACTCATAAAGAGTTGCCTGCTCCCGTGTCTGAATGCTGGGGTTAATGGCATGCACCACCACCGCCTAGCCTGTATAATTTTTTTATTGCAGGATTGGGAAGTGTTTTGTGACAACTTTTCCTGAGGAGATACAACACACACACACATCTACTCATCCTGGATAGGGAGCCTATTGACAGACCAAAGTTCACCTTAAGTGGGGTCACTTACAGGAAGGAATATGGTGAGGTATTGGTTGTAGTAGCAGAAACGATTCCCTGCATCACCAAAGCGTGATGGCTTGCAAAGCTGGGAACCTGGAGCACAGTGCACAGCCTGCAGCTCAACAGGTTGGAAGTGTCCTTCTGGTGGCTCAGTTGGTCTGAGCCTCTTCCAGGCAGCTAATCTGATTTTTGTTTCTTCCAAGGCCAGTGGTTCTCAACCTGTGGGTTGTGACTCCTTTGAGGGGCAAATAGTCCTTTTGCAGGGGTCACTTAAGACTATCAAAAAACACAGATTTATATTATGATTCCTAATAGTAGCAAAATTACAGTTATGAAGAAGCAGTGAAATAATTTTATGATGGTGTCACCACAACATGAGGAATATTAAAGGCTCGCAGCATTAGGCGTGTTGAGAAACACTGTTCTGTGCAGTTCTTTTGGTCTCTGCTTCCAGGCAATTTGACTGATCTGGAAGCAACTCTCTGTAGCCTGTACTAATTGTATACTCTGGAGAAAGGTAGAGAAGAGATTTTGGTGATACTAGTGGGGATATATAAGAAAAGTCATAAAACTTTTGAAGTTTTAAGATTTGGGGGGCTAAAGAGATGGTTCAGTGGTGGTGCACGCCTTTAATCCTGGCACTCGGGAGGCAGAGGCAGGCGAATCTTTATGAGTTCCAGACCAGCCTGGTCTACAAGAACTAGTTCAGGACAGGCTCCAAAGCTACAGAGAAACCCTGTCCCAACCTCCCCTCTTTCTCCCTCCTCTCCCACCCCCCCGCCAAAAACAAAGACTATTTCTCTGGTTCTCAGCATGCCTTAGTTCCCTGTTGTTTGTATAGGTTTGAGGCCTCCTGAACTTTCTTCAGTCCATGTTAGCATATCTGTTGTTACCCTTGTTCAGCTCACGTTGGTGAGACTTTATGGACATAGCTTCAGACATTTCTAGGAGCTACAATCTCATAGCAAAACTACATGTTTTTTTTGCCTTTTCATTTTTCTTTCCTCTCCCAATCCCTGAACCTTAGGTATGGGGATTGTGTTTTATATAGGCTCTGCAACTCTGCATTTTGATAGATTACGGTTTTCTGAAATGGTTGCTGTCTATTGCAGAGAGAAATTTACTTGATGCAGTGTGAGGGCCATACTTATTTGTAGATAAAAGATCATTATTTAGAATGTAGTTATGGATAATGCTGATTTAGTAAAGTGGTTTAATCCTAGAACTTGGAAAGGAAGTGGCAGGCAGATCTCAGATCTCTAAATTCAAGGCCTCTTTGATCTACATAGTGAGTTCTAGGACTATGTAGAGAAACTCTGTCTAAAAAATATATATATATATATAATATATATTACATAGTTTTATGTTTGTTGGAGTAGGAGGGTATTGCATATGCCATAGCATTTATTTGGAGGACAGAAGGCAACTTTCAGGAACCGACTCTTTCCTTCTGCCATATGGGCTCTAGGATTGAACTCAGGTCATCAGGTTTGGCAGCAAGCACCTTTGCCTACTAAGCCTTCTTGCTGGCTTTATTTGTTGTTGTTGTTGTTTCAGTTTATTTTTTAAAAATTTGTGTACATGTGTTTTGGCTACAAAGAGACCAGAGAGGGCTCCGGATTCCCTAGAACAAGAATTTTATTGATGCTTGTAAGCTGCCATTGTGTGTTCTAGAAGCTGAACCCCAGTTTCTACAAGAACACCAAATGTTCTTAGTTATTTCTCCAGCCCCTGTTGGTTTGTTTGTTAACAGGATATGGTGCTATAGCTGTCCTGAAATTATAGATCCTCCTGATTCAGATTCCCAAGTGCTAGGATTATAGGCAAACTCTTATCTCCAGCATGAATGATTTTGTTTTTACTTTTACTTTTTGTTTTTGTTGTTTTTGTTTTGTTTTTTAAAAACAACTGTCTGTGTAGTCCTGACTGTCTTGGAACTCTCTGTAGACCACGCTGGCTTGTAACTCACAGAGATCTACCTGCTGGCATTAAAGGTGTATGCCACCACGTTTTTGTTTGTTTTTAAAGAACCATCTACATGAGTATAGTGTGGATTTCATGTCCCTTTTATAATTAAAGGCCTTGATGACTGCAGTGTTTTTGAAGTTTATTTTCATTGCTAAAGTTACTGGAGAAATAATATAGATTTAAAAATTTTTTTTAATAATATAGATGTTGTAGGACAATAATAGCATTGGAAGTTAGTTCTGTTATCTGTAACTTTAAACATATGTTACATGAATTATTTTTTTGAAGCATGACTAACAAAAGCTCAAGAGACAAAAATGGGGTTTAACCTAAAGGTTAGAAAAGCAAAGCAGCTAGCCACTGGCTCTTACCTCTACCTTATTCTAAAATGTTGATCCTGCCTTTAGGAATCTCAGAATGAGACTGTGAGCTGTCTCCTCCCATTTTATAATCCTCTCTAGGGCTGGGATTAAAGGCGTGCACCACAGATTAAAGGCATGCATCTCTGGTTTCGATGGCAACTAGTGTGGCTATTAGTATTAAAGGTGTATGTTACCACTGCCTGGTCTGTAAGGCTAACCAGTGGGGCTGTTATACTCTCTGATTTTCAGATAAGCTTTATTTATTAAAATACAAGAAATGCCACTACATTTTTTTAATTGTTAATATTTCACACCTGCTTTTTGGCTTGCATAAGGAACTTTATTCTGATCTTTCTTTGTGTTTTTTCCATAGAATGGATAGAATGACAGAAGATGCTCTTCGCCTGAATCTTTTGAAGAGGAGTTTGGACCCGGCAGATGAGCGAGATGATGTCCTGGCAAAACGCCTCAAAATGGAGGGTCATGAGGCCATGGAACGTCTGAAAATGTTGGCCCTGCTGAAAAGGAAAGATTTGGCAAACCTTGAGGTGCCACATGAGTTACCTACCAAGCAAGATGGCAGTGGTGTCAAGGGTTATGAAGAGAAACTCAATGGGAATCTCAGGCCTCATGGAGACAACAGGACTGCTGGAAGACCAGGCAAAGAAAATATCAATGATGAGCCTGTTGATATGAGTGCTAGACGGAGGTATGGTGCAGTTTAGCTGCCTGCAGAAATAGGGTCTTCTTTAAAATAAGCTTGTGAAAATGGTATGAATTCCAGTGAAAGGGAGGTGATTTTCACCCTAAAGCTGCCTTTCTTGTTTTTTCTGTTTTGTTGTTGTGCAGCAGGGTTTCATACTATAGCCATGCTGGTCTTGAACTTTTGGCAGTCCTCTTGTCTCAGTATCTGTGTTGGGATACTTATGTGAGCTACCACATGATGATGTCTTCTTGAAAGAATATCTGTGTCCTCTGGCTTAAATTGACCTCTCATTTCCAGATGAAGCTAGGTTGCTCACATGGAGAATCATAGTTCTTACCTAAGATAAACTGATTATTTCTGGGGACCAGAGATGTGACAAAGTAATGAATGGTGTTTGCTACTCAGTTATGAGAACTGGAGCTTAAATCTTCGGAGGATGGGGGGGAATCTTTCACCAAACATGGTGGTGTTTGTCTTTAGTCCCAACACTCAGTGGCAGAGGCATGCAGATTGCTGGGTGTGGTGGCATTTTTCTAGCTCAGTCAGAGCATGAGACTCTTAATCTCAGGGTCATGGGTTTGAGCCCCACATTGGACGCCAAATGAAACATGATTAATAAATACTCAGAGACAGAAATTGGGGTTCAACCTGAAGATCTGAAAAGCAAAACAGCCAGCCACTGGCTCTTACCTCCACCTCAGTCTGAAATGGCAATCCTGCCTCTCGGAATCTCAGAATGAGTGTGTGGTGAGAACTGTTTCCTCCCAATTTATAATCCTCTCTAGAGCTGGGATTAAATGTGTGCACCGCCCAGTTTCTATGGCAACTAGTGTGGCTACTAGGATTAAAGGTGTGTGTCATTATGGCTAGTGAGATTAAAGGTGCGTGTTGCTATAATCTGGTGTTTAAGGCTGACCAGTGGGACTGTTTTAGTCTCAGATCTTCAGGCAGTCTTTATTTGAAATGCATGACACTAGCCCTCCTGAAGAATATAAGGGTGATCTACTTACACAACATTTCTCTAACTCTACCTGTAGCTTCCACATCCTCATAAGTTGTTCTGTAAGAATGCACCAAGGAGAGACATGATCTCTTTGATATGAATTAAAACAAGGCCATTGGATAGATGGCTCAGTGGTTAAAAGTACTTGTTGCCCTTGCAAAGCACCCACACCATCTGTAACAGTCATCTGAAACTTAAATTCCAACAGATTCAACTCCTTCTTCTGACTTCCAGGCATGCATGCGGTTAACATAAATATATGTCGGCAACACGTTAAATAAACAGGTCTTTACAATAGAACAAAAGAATTTAAAAAATGGGAGATGAAATTTGTAACATGAGACCTATCTTTGTTGCCTAAATAACACTAATGGGGTGAATTCTAGTATCTGTGAAATAAATATGTGTAAAGTAAAAACTAGTATAACTACTGTTTTAGAATGGTAGAGAAACAACTTTTTTCTTCTGTTGGTTTGTGGTGGGACTTGAACCCAAAGTCTTCCGTCTGCCACTATGATGAGATACAAGATTTGCATCACACCCAGGCAGATAAGAACTAGGAGCTTTCAGAGGTGAAGAGTGTTATCAGCTCTTCCAGCGGTTCTGAGTTCAATTCCCAGCAACCACATGGTGGCACACGGTCATCTATAATTGGATCTGATGTCCTCTCCTGGCATGTAGGTGTACATTCAGGTAGAGCAAGCACTGTGTGTGTGTGTGTGTATGCGTGTAATCTTTTTTTTTTTAAGGAGCTTTAAGATAGGCATTAGTGGTATACACCTTTAATCCCAGCACTTGAGAGCCAAAGGCATGTGGATCCAAATTTGTGGCCAGCCAGGACTACAGAAAGAGACCCTGTGTCAAAAAGCAAAGAATTATGAGCGTTATAGCTTCTGGGAATATTCCAGATTGAAACACAAGTAATGTTTAGCTTTTAATAAGCTCTTAACAGGTAGAAGTTTCATGCTTAGAAGCCTCAAATAGTGATTTAAAAAATGTTGGCCACCAGGTGGTGGTGGCACTTATCTTTCGTCCCAGTCTTTGGTCTACGGAGTGAGTTCAGGACAGCCAGAGCTACACAGAGAGACTCTGTCTGGAAAAAACAAAACAAACAAACTGGAATGAAGACTTGACTTGGGCTTTGTCTTATCTATGCCATCTGTCTAATGTGTATCTGGATTGTGTATAAGCATAAAACAAAGTGTTGTTTCTAGTGTAAGTTACTGATGTCACACAGTTCCAACATGTTCATTCAGGAATATTTCTGCTCAACTTGGTATTGAGCAGTCTCTAAGCAATAGGTGGCAATCATTTGTGTAGGGAATAATGTTTTACCTTAGAAATAGTCTTACAGAATATACTTACCTCACCAGGACTGAAATTTCATAAAGCTGCTGCTTGGTGACATTAAATACTACTGAATCAAGGAGGGAATTTCTAGACCTCATCATTGCTCACTTAGGGCAATCTTTAGTGTGAAAGGATGAAGGAATGTAGAAAAGACAAGTAAAATATGAACACAAAATTAAATTCGGACACTTTATTTATTTAGTTCTGTTTGATCTAGAGAACTAAAAGCTCTTTCTCCCCCTAGTGGCATTTTTTCCTGTAATTCCATATTCTCAGCTTGCTGTCTGACTGTGGCTCCAGTGCAGCTCACACACTGACTAGTCCAGAAAGTAGTCGGTTTCCTTACTTCTGTCCAAACTTATTAGTAACTCACATTTACCCTGTGAATTATCTCAATCATCAGGATACCTTGTTCCAAAAGCTTCTTTAGGTGAAGTCTGGAATGGTGGTGCACTATGCTTGTAGTACAGAAGCAGAGGGTGCTCACTGTGAGTTCAGAGTTAGCTTGAGCCATAAAGGCCAGAAAGATGGTTCACTGGGTAAAGGCACCTATTACTAAGGCTGATGACTGGAATTTGTTTCTGGAACTCCCACAATGGAAGGAGAAAACTGATTTCACAAAGTTGTCCTTTGACCACATCAGTACCCTGGCACATATGTGCATGCTTGTACAGACACTAAATTAATTAAAATTAAAAACAAAAAAGGCCTCTTGGGGGGGGCTAGAAATATTACTTGATGGTAGACTACTTCTCTAGCGTCTATAGGGTCAGAGCTAGGTTGGATTTCCAGTAAAATACACTTATGTCCCCGAAGGACCTAAGAGCAACTCCCCCCAAAACAAAACAAAACAAAACACAACAAAGAAACCTTGAGAAATAGTGGATAGGGGATTAAAGCTAATGATCTATGAGCTTTTAGGTTTTAAGGTCCATTAAATAAGACCTATAACCACACCAACCTAACCTAGCCCTATATACTCCCAACTATTTTATCACAGAAAGCTATAGCTGTTCCTCGGTGATAGAAGGCATGCTTAGGTATCTGTCACGCATTGAGTTCTATCCCCAGATCTAACCACAAATAAAAGGGGGGAAAATAACTTCAGCCAGGCACGATGGTACATTGTTGAGATCATAGTACTTGGGAAATATAGGCCGGAATTGGTTTGTTTTTGTTTTTTAAGACAAGGTTTCTCAGTGAGGCTTTAGAGCCTGTCCTGGAACTCGCTCTGTAGGCCAGGCTGGCCTCAAACTCACAGAGATTCACCTGCCTCTGCCTTCCAAAGTGCTAGGATTAAAGGCGTGTGCTTACCAACACCTGGCAAGGCAGGGAGATCTTGAAGCCAGTCAATTACGTGAAACGTCTCACGAACATTTAAAAATTAATGGAGGTGGAAGATACATGTGTTGGTTTGAGGATCTAAGGCAATTAGATTGTTCAGGTTTCTTTATATTTGAGCTGCAGAAATACAAAAACAAAGGTTATCTAATGAATAGATTTGGAAATAAGAGAAGTCTATGTGAAGGATTTTAGATGTCAAAGTAGTTTCTTTTTCAGGGAAGATGCTAACTAGATACTCTAGCTAATGTGCCTTTGGTTAGTCCTTTTCCAAGAGACTGTGTACTTTATAGTTGATACTATCCATTTTCTCAAGCCATTATCCACACCTTCTTTTGCCTTTTCTTTATGACACCACTCTTGACAGGATACATTGTCACTTATCAGAACCATGTTATTAGAGTGAGCTATTTCCTTTTGTTCATCAGTAGATTGGTGTGGGAGAATTATCTGTATTCTGTCAATCATATTTTAATAAAACGCTGATTGGCCAGGCAGGCAGTATAGGCGGGAAAGCCAGACAGGAAGTAGGGGTGGAGCAAAGAGACTGGGAGTATTCTGGAAGCAGAAGCTCTCTCTCAGCCACTCCTGCACAGACCACCGAAGAGGCAACATGTAAGCTGTCACACTGAGAAAGGTACTGAGCCCATGTGGCTAAAATAGATAAGGATAATGGGGTAATATATGTTATAAGAGCTAATAAGTAGCCTGACCAAATGGGCCAATCAGTTTATAATCTTATGGATTCTTGTGTATGATTTTCCTTGGGAGTTGCCAGTTGTGGGGTACCGGGCGGGACAGAAACCCCAACAAGCTGGCCCCCTCATGCTACAGTAGATGACTAGATTCTAATGGCTTTGCTTTCTCCAGTCCTCTAGATAACTAATATCAATAGTGACAACTCAATGATGCGATAATAGGGAAAAGAGTTACAATTAAAATATTGTATTAGAGCACTTATTTCAATTTTTAATTTTGTTTTTAAGACAGAGCTCATTATATAGCCCGACTGACTTTGAATTCATTATATATGCTAGATTGACCTTAAGTGCTGGGATTAAAGTATGAGCCACCACACCGAGCATCTCATTTTTAAAAAATTATTTTTATGCGTGTGGGTGTTTTCCTTGCACGGGTGTCTATGTACTACATATATATAGTGCCCATGGTGGCCGGAAGAGGATGTCAGGTGCCTGGGACTGGAGTTACAGGCGGTTGTGAGCCAACATATGGGTGCTGGGAATTGAACCTGGGTCTTCTGGAAGAGCTAACTCCCTAGCCAGCTCTCCCCCCTCCATCCCCTAATTTTTAAAGCTTCTCATTACTTTATATATTTGTGTCTGCATTGCAGGACTGACAGATTGAGATTAGAAAAGTACTTTGCTAAGCTTTTGCCCTCACTTACATCTTGGTGTCTTTATTTTAGGAATTGTCTGTCTTTCTTTTGCTGAGTCGGGAAACACTTAAGTTCTTTTGGATTTCTTTGTTGTAGTAAAGAAATTTTTTTTCCCTATCACTGTTGGAAATACTGTAACCTTTTCCTTTTCTCATCCAGTGAGCCAGACCGAGGAAGGCTAACACCTTCCCCAGATATAATTGTTTTGTCTGATAATGAGGCTTCCAGTCCCCGGTCCAACTCCCGGATGGAAGAAAGACTCAAAGCAGCAAATCTAGAGATGTTTAAGGTAAAAGAGAAAGGATGTTGGTTGTTTTTTTTTTTTTCTTCCTCCTCCTCCTCTTCTTCTATTTTTTTTTCTTTTTTTTTTATTTCATGTTCCTTACATTCTCTTTAATTCCCTGGTTTGGTTTTATATTATTACTTTAATTTGCTTTCTGGATCTAAATAACCACCCACTTGATAAGTTTTTCATACTGATTCTCCACAGTTTGCCCTTTTGAGAGGTAGCTGTTCAACCAAGCAGAAAAAATAGTTTGCTAAAGCATGTCATATCCAATATTATTCATCTTTAAAAAATCAAAGAGAAATTCATAATTTAAGTCATATAAAATATACTATTAGGTATGATGATATCCTTTATACTATTCAGAGTCTCAAAATATAGAGGAATTCATATTTGTTTATTATATATATCAGATATAATTTTTAAAGATTTAGAGGCTATTTTAAAAGAAAACATTGTTTCTTTTTTGTCAGTTATTTGTTTTGCCAAGAATACACTGATTGGTTGACAATAATTTATTTATAGTCCTTTAAGTACTTTTTGAGTACTCCTGAATGCCATTCTGAAGGGCTACAAAGATATAGTCACATCTTCACTTCTGCTTCTTATAGAAGATAAAGGTTTCAGAAGAGAAATCTAGATCATTTCTTACAGAAAGGGTTTCTGGGTACTTTTGCTGACTTACAATCTCCGTGTTTAGGGGAAAGGCATTGAGGAACGGCAGCAGCTTATCAAGCAACTGAGGGATGAACTGCGATTGGAAGAAGCTCGTCTGGTGCTGTTAAAGAAACTGAGACAGAGTCAGCTACAGAAAGAGAATGTGGTCCAAAAGGTAGTATTTTGGGGTGAAGAGATGTCTCAGAGGTTAAGAGCACTGACTGACTACTAACTCTTCCAAAGTACCCAGGTTCGGTTCCCAGCACCCATATGGCAGCTAACAACTGTCTATAGTTCAGTTCTAGGGGATCTGACACCCTCACATAGACATGCATGCAGGCAGAACACTAATGTACATACAATAAAAATAAGTAAGTCATTTTTTTTAAGAAAAAGCTTTAAAGAAAAGTTTCTAGAAAGGGGGGAAAGTCTAGTTTGAGGTAGATTCAGCTTTGTGGGCCATTCTTCTATGGTTCTGTAGGGTTTTTTAGTCTCTACAAGTAGAATAGTAGTGCTTTTGTTTTGTTTTAATCTTAGGCATTAATCAAGAAAAGCCTTAAGTGGGCACGGTGTACACGTCTGTTATGCCAGTGCTTAAAAGTAGAGTTAAAATCAAAAGTTAAATTCATGCTAGGCATGATGGTGTACTCTCAGGAGGCTGAAGCAGCTGAACTCTGGGTTCAAGGCCAGTCTAATCTATAGAGTGAATCCCAGAAAGCCAGAGCTACACAGAGATATACCTTCTTGAAGAAGAAGGGGGAAAAAGGTTAAGGGAGCTGGAGAGATGGCTCAGCAATTAAGAGCACTTGCTATTCTTGTGTATGGCCTGAACTCTGGTTCCCAGCACCCACATGACAGCTTAGAACCAGCTGTTATTGCAGTTATTGCAGTTTCAAGGGATTTGATGCCCTCTTCTGACCTTTTGGCCCTCTACTGCCACCAGGTACACACATAGTAACAGACAAATGTTTTTGTATAGAGTATTTGAGATGGCCGTATGAGACCCTGTCTTGGGGGGGCGGGCAAAGAGAACACCTGGCATAGTGACATGCCTTTAATCCTAGCAGTTGGGAGTAGTGGATCTCTGAATTTGAGGCTAGCCTGGTATACATATTGAGGTCTAGGTCAACCTAGGCTGCATATAACAAGACTGAATCTCAAACAAAACAACAAAAATTAAAAAGCCTTAACTTCATTTTTCTCATCTTTCTTCCTTATCAATAAGTACTTCACATTAGTTCTTTATATGCACAAGGAAATTTTAGATCCTAGAACTTTACCGAATTTTACCCCTGGGTTTCTGGTTTCTGGGTTGGTTTGTTTTGTTGGAGGTGGTTGGGTTTGTTTTGTTATTTATGGTCTCATTTTCTGTTTCCCCTCTCAGACTCCAGTTGTACAGAATGCAGCATCTATTGTTCAGCCATCTCCTGCACATGTGGGACAGCAAGGCTTATCTAAGCTTCCTTCCCGGCCTGGGGCTCAAGGGATTGAACCTCAAAATTTGAGAACATTACAGGTATGTGGCCCATAGTGGGGTATTACTATTGGGCCAGTCTTTATTTGGGGACTTTTGTGAAGATTTTTTTCTAAAGATTTATTTATTTATTTTGTTTGTTTGCAATGTTCTGTCTGCATGTGTGCCTGCAGACCAGAAGAGGGCACCAGATTTCTTTACAGATGGTTGTGAGCCACCATGTGGTTGCTGGGAATTGAACCTCTGAGCCATCTCTCTAGCCCGAAGATTATTATTATTATTTTAGATTTATTTATTTGCCTGGTAGTGGTGACGCACACCTTTAATCCCAGCACTTAGGAGGCAGAGGAAGAGGCAGGCGGATCTCTGAATTCGAGGGCAGCCCGGTCTGCAAGACCAAGTTCCAGAACAGCTTGAGATCTGATGCTCTAGAGCTTCTGGTGTGTGGGCATGCACGCAGACAGAGCATTATATATGTAATAAATAAATCTTTTTTTTTAATTTTATGATTTATTTATCTTTTTTATTTTATGTGCATTGGTGTGAAGGTGTCAGGTCCCCTGGAACCGGATTTTCAGACAGTTGTGAGCTGCCATGTGGGTGCTGGGAATTGAACCCGGGTCCTCTGGAAGAGCAGTTGGTGCTCTTAACCGCTGAGCCATATCTCCAGCCCCATAATAAATAAATCTTAACAAAAACTAGCTGCTCTTCCATAAGACTTGGACTTAATTGCTAGCACCCACAAGAGGCCCGGTCTCAAGAGATCTAGTACCCTCTTCTGGTCTCCAAACACACCAGGTGTACATATGCTATATGTAGGCAAAACACTCAAACACATTTTTAAAAAGAAAATATTTTTTAAAAGACAAGACTTCTAGTCACTAGTCAGTTTAGAGTAATGTTAGAGGGCCTAGAGAGAAGCATCAGAGGTTAAGAGCACTTACTGACCTTGCAAGAGGGCCTTGTTCCTTCCACCCACATGTAGCCTGCAGCCATCTATAACTATAGTTGCAGGGAATCTGGCATCCTCTTCTGACCTCAACAGAGCATGCATACATGCATATAAAATATTCATCCACGGGCTGGAGAGATGGCTCAGCGGTTAAGAGCACTGCCTGCTCTTCCAACGGTTCTGAGTTCCATACCCAGCAACCTCATGGTGGCTCACAACCATCTGTAATGAGATCTGGTGCCCTCTTCTGGCTTGCAGGCATATATGCAGACAGAATACTGTACACATAATAAATAAATAAATCTTTCAAAAAACTCATCCACATGAAATGAAAATGAGTAAAATTTTATATATATACATACATGCATGCATACACACATATATATTAAACTAGAGTAATGGTAGATGTATCCCATTGATTGCTGTACAAAATTATCAGATGTGTGTTCCCATGATTCTACTAGCTATTCATTATAAGCAGTGTTTTCAGTTTGCATTTTATGGGTATTATGCTATCTGTGAGTTCTTTTCCTGTTCTTTCCCATAGGGTCACAGTGTCATCCGTTCAGCAACCAACACTACCCTTCCACACATGTTGATGTCTCAACGTGTTATTGCACCAAATCCAGCCCAGCTTCAGAGTCAACGGGGGCCACCGAAGCCTGGCATTGTACGCACCACAACACCTAACATGAATCCCGCCATCAGTTACCAACCAGTAAGAGCGAGCACTGGTATAGAAATAGAAGAAATCCTTTATTTGCTTTTCTTATTCAAAGAGCCACAGGTTTTAAGTTTTGTATATAGAGTAACTAGGGCAAAAGAGTGGTCTGTATAGAGAGCATTCCCTAAAATGGACACTTTAAGGAATTATATAGAAATAGGTGGTGGTAGAAAAAGTAGTATGTTGTAGAGCAGAGGTAAATTAGCTAAAATGTGCCTTTAGAAAAAGAGATCTTAGGCCGGGCAGTGTTGGCACCCACTTTAACCACAGCACTCTGGAGGCAGAGGTGGGCAGAGCTCTGTGAGTTTGAAGCCAGCTTGGTCTACAGTACGAGTTCCAGGACAGGCTCCAAAGATACAGAAAAACCCTGTCTCGGAAAGAAAAAAAGATCTTAACCTAGAGGTGAGAGTGGAATGGAAATGACATAATACAGTACTCGTGTGTGAGATTCTCAAAAATAAATATATGCGTGAAAAAGAAAAGGAGATGAAAGTATGTATATGATAAAGCATACGTACCTGACAGAAAGCATACCCAGTCTCTTTTTCAAAACAACTTGAGCTTTTAAGTGCCATCATTCTTTATTCTTATGTGCCAGGGTTATCTTTCAGTGATGAGTTGAATGCTTCCTATTTTGAAGAAACTAAATCGTCCAGACCAGGATTATATAGAAAATCAAGAATTAGTCTTCTCATACTTATCAGCCCCCTGTCCCCTATTCCGTTTCAGCAGTCAAGTTCTTCTGTTCCCTGTCAGCGCACAGCATCTTCTGCCATCTATATGAATCTCGCCTCCCATATCCAGCCAGGGACTGTGAACAGAGTGTCCTCACCACTTCCTAGCCCCAGTGCCATGAGCGATGCTGCCAACTCACAAGCTGCAGCCAAACTGGCTCTTCGAAAACAGCTGGAAAAGACATTGCTGGAGATACCACCTCCAAAACCGCCTGCTCCCTTGCTTCACTTTCTGCCTAGTGCAGCCAATAGCGAGTTCATCTACATGGTAGGCTTGGAAGAAGTCGTCCAGAGTGTCATTGACAGCCAAGGTAACACTTCCTTCTAGTTAAGTCTCTAAGAAGCAAGGGGTTGCTAAGCCTCTGGCAGAGAATTTAATATTATAGGTAACTGTATCGTATAATAATTCCCCTTACAACCTGGTGGTGGTGACCCACATCTTTAATCCCAACACTTAAGAGACACAGGCTAACCTAGTTTACAGAGTGAGTTGTATTGCAGCTAGGGCAACACAGAGAAACCTTGTCTCAAAAAAACAGCAACAACAACAACAAAACTGCTCTTAATCCTGGCCTGATATAATCCCACCACTTTGTAGGGAGAGACAGGAAAATTACTCCAAATCCAAGGCCAACCTGGTCTACACAATAAAGTGACAGCCAGTTTAGGTTACAAACTGAGACCCTGTCTTGAAGTTGTTAAGTTTATTTAGTATTCCTAAACTGGGTCTAGTGGCGCATTCTTTAAGCCCTAACACTGAGGCTGAAGTGGGAGAATACTGAGAGTTTGAGGCTAGCCTGAGCAACATAGCAAGACCCTGTCTCACAAAGAAAGTTGGAGGTGCATACAGATAACTGTAGTATTCAGGAGACTAAGACTGGAGGGGTTCAAGTTTGAGGCCACACAGAGTTACATGATGAGACCTACTCTCTAAATAAATTAAATCTGATCCATTATTTCTGCCAGAGTCTCTCCCATCACTTAGTTATATGAGCTGTTGGGGTGCAATATCTCATAAAAGGAGACTAAGGAAATGACTCAATGGCTCAGAGCACCGGCTGCTCCTTCCGAGGACCTGGGTTCAGTTCCCAGCACCCACATCACCATCATTCATAACTCAGATCTTCTGACATGGCACCAAGCACACATATAGTTAACAGACATACATGCAGGCAAAACCCCATACACATGAAGTAAGTCTTAAAAGCCAAAGTAGAGTCTAGAGGTGTAATTCACTTGGTAAAATACTTCTTTATCCTGGAAGGTAGAGATAAGAAGTCCAGGGACATCCTCAGATACATAATCTATTTTTAGATCCCCCTGTAATACATAGAATCCTATCCCTTGCCCAAAGTGGGGGAAGGGTAATGTATGTTTCATTATTTGTTTGTTTTCTTCAATATAGTGTTTCTTTTTTAACGAGAGTTCTGGCTCACATTTTGGGAGTATAATCAAGCCGTCATAGTAGGTGAATCAAAGGCATCAGGAGCTTGAAACAATTGGTCACGTCGCATCCACAGTCAGGAAACAGAATGATGAATACATCTTGTTTAGTTCCCTTTTGTTTTGTTTTGTTGAAACAGTGTCTCACTATATATAATTTTGGTTAGTCTGGAACTATGTGTAGATCAAACTGCCCTTGAACTCACATGTGGAGGCACATACTACTGTGCCTGCTCTTTAGATGAATAGAGCTTCTATGTTTCGTGACCTTGTGCTGAGTTATTATATTCAGTCTCTGACCTTTTAATGCTTCTGCTGGAAAAACTGTATATACTAATATAAATAATCAAACATCATCACATGAAAATTGCAACCTGGTATTGAATCAGATATTCACACCATGCAGTGTGATGCTAACAGGCATTATTAAGCTTAAATTTCCAAATAGTATATCTGAAAGTCCCTAAGGGACTGACTAACATTAGCTGTGAACAGATCAGAGTGCTTTAATTTCAGCCAGGTCAGGTGACTTATGCCTATAATTACATTTGGAGTACTGATGCAAAGAGTGTTGTCATGAGTTCTAGGCCAGTCTGAGCTACAGTGTAAAGCTTTATCTCAAAAAGTCTGCACAAAGTAACTAGACCCTGATAAATGGGTGTTGTAAATATGTATATATGTAAAGGGAAAGTTCAGTATAAAGTGATGTTAAGAAACAGAAAGGTGGTGGTGCACACCTTTAATGGGAGGCAGAGGCAGGCAGATCTCTTGAGTTCAAAGCTAGCCTGGTCTACAGCAGAAATTCTAGAATAGCCAGGAATACAAAGAGAAACCCTGTCTCAGGGGAAAAAAAACAAAAGAAAAACAAAGCATTGTTTTTGCCCTTTGATTCTGAATTTATTATGAGGTTGGTTTTTTTTTTTTTTAACAGGATTACACAATATAGCCAGGAAGGGTTCAGCCTTACTCTGTAGCCCAGCCTCACCTCAAGCTTAGGAGCCTCCTTCCCTAGCCTCCCAACTGTTCTGATTATGAAGTCAAAATATTTATTAAATTGCATTTAGAAAAATGTAAGGCTTGGTGTAGTAGTGCATGCTTTTAATCCCAGCACTAGGGAGGCAGAGGAAGACAAATCTTATGAGTTGAGGCCAGCCAGGTCTACATACTGAGTTTCAGGACAGCCTGACCCACATAATGAGCCACTGTCTCAAAACAAGACAGTGAATAAGTTTAAGATTCTTTATTTAATTTCGATGAGTGTTTTTCCTGCATATATGTATGTTTACCACATGTTTGCCTGGTGCCCTCACTTCAGAAGAGTGCATCAGAGTCTCTGAACTGGAGTTACGGGTGGTTTTGAGCCACTGTATGGGTGCAGGGAGCGGAACTCCAGTCCTCTGTAAGGGTAACAAAGTGCTTTTGAACAAAGTGCTGTTGAACTCCAGTTCCCTGAATTGTTTTGGTTTGTTTGTTTTTGTATAGTTTCTTGTTATTTTGTTGGTGTTGGTGGTGACAGCGGAGCAGGAGAAGAAAAGAGAACAGGGTGGAGGGTGCCAATGAACATATTGGGAGGCCACAGACAACTTTCCTTCCACCTTTACATAGGTTTCAAAGATGGAACACAGTTTCTTTAGGATTGCACATGAAACACTTTCATGCTCTGAGCCATCCCACTGACCCTGCTTGTATAGTCTCTGAGATAACAGAACTGACTTGTAGGAATGATACATAAATGAAGAGAAACAGAAAAGGTGGGAGATATGACTCCATTAATGATTCTTCTTATTGATATCTAGGCAAAAACTGTGCCTCACTTCTGAGGGTCGAACCCTTTGTATGTGCCCAGTGCCGTACAGATTTCACCCCTCACTGGAAGCAAGAAAAGAATGGTAAGATCCTCTGTGAGCAGTGTATGACTTCAAACCAGAAAAAGGCTCTAAAAGCTGAACACACCAACCGACTGAAAAATGCTTTTGTTAAAGCTCTACAGCAAGAACAGGTGAGAATTCTGGCTCCTAGTCCACAGTCATCTTACGGGTTTGGTTTTCCCAGAAGGTTGTTGCTTGTAGTTTGGAGGGGTTAACCATGTGGTTGCCATAGACCTCTGGGTCTAGAAACCTAGGTTTCTTTAAAAAATAAAGCAAAGTGTGGTCTCAAATGTCTTTAATCCCAGCTTTCAGGAGGCAGAAACAAGTGGATCTCTGTGAGTTCAAGGCCAGATTAATCTACAGTGCAAGTTCTGGGACAGCCAGAGCTATACAAAGAAACCCTGTGTGTCTGTGGTCAGGGGGGATTCAAGAAACAGCAGTAACAACAAAACCCTTTTCTTCTCAAGTATGGTGACAGCATGTCTTTAGTCCCAGCACTCTGAAAGCTTGAACTTTGACTTTTCCATAGCTCTGAAGAAAGTCTCACCGTTAGCTCTAAATAGCCTAGAACTTGTGTTCCTCCCATCTGCCTCTTGAGAGCTGGTATTACAGGCATCCGTCACAATATCCAGGCCCTCTATTCTCCACTTGATTTCTTGTCAAAGAAATGGGTTTTGCTGTGGGGAATTTGCTGCATACTTTCAAGTCCGCAATCTGTGGTTAAATGGCAAAGGAAAGGATGGGTAGATGATCAAGTAGCCCAGTGAAGACCGTGGTGACAGAAGCGTGTGAGCATTCATAGATAACAGTTACAGGATTAGTTTCTCCCAAGGGAAGGATGTGTTATGATGCTCAGATCCTTGTATCTGTCCCATTTTCCACTCTGTTAACCATCAGAATCCCTTAGGTAACGTCACGAGCCTTGTGGAAAATAGATAGGAATCAAAACTAAGATTTCTACTTTAATGGAAGAGCACTTGCTTCCACATCTAAGGCTCTGGTTTCAGTCTCCAGCACTGCATGGTAGTTATATGCAGATATGAATGCATGAATGAATCTCTTTAAAAAATTACAGAGATAAATAGGACCTCAGTGATTCATTAGCTTTAATTACATTACCATCCATTGTCTTCCAGTTATCCTCAGGAGAGCCAGCATTCTGGAGAGAAGGGAATGCTTTTAATCAATAAAACATGTTGGCTGCTTATATCTGGAGATCTCAGTGTAACCATCTCACCATACTTTTTGCCTTTTCCGAATTATTGTAACTAACTGGCGTCATTACAGAAACAAGACCCTTGGTTGTCTAGTTAGAAAATTGGGTGCTGTCTTGTCCAATCTCATCTAATAACTCCCAACAGGAAATTGAACAGCGATTACAGCAGCAGGCAGCACTCTCCCCTACTACAGCTCCAGCTGTATCCAGTGTCAGTAAACAGGAGACCATCATGAGACATCATACACTTCGGCAGGTGAGGAACTTCTCCCCAACCCTGCTTTCTCTTGGGGGCTGTACTTCTGCATGAAATGGTTCTGTTCTCTTTTACTCCTGTGCCTTTGTCTTCTACTTGAACTTCTGTAATGGCAAGGTTTCATCAATTGTTCCCTTGTTGCAGGCTCCACAGCCCCAGAGCAGCCTCCAGCGTGGTATACCCACATCTGCCCGATCCATGCTTTCAAATTTTGCACAGGCACCCCAGTTGTCTGTGCCAGGTGGCCTCCTTGGTATGCCAGGTAAGATGGATTGACTTCAGAACTTACCTCAGAGTTGACTAGTCTCTGCTTTAAGGGTCATGTATAGCTCAGGTTGACTCTGAGCTTGCTGTGTAACCAAGGCTGCTACTTCTGCCAACTCCTCCACCACAAGTGCTGAAATCACAGGTGTGTACCACCTAGCTTTAGTGCACAGTTCTCTCTGTGTACATGGGTGCATGTATAGAGGTTAGAAGTCCGTCTTGAGTGTCATGCCTCAGGTACTATCTACTTGTTTTTTGAGATAGGGTCTTTTACTGGCCTCCAGTTGATGAAGCAGGTTGACTGGGCAGAAACTCCAGAGATCTGCCTCCCATTGCTAGGATTATGAGCATGCACCACCAAACCCAGCTTTTTTCTGTGACTGCCGGGGGATCAAGCTCAGGTCCAAGTATGTGCATGGCAAGCACTTTGCTGACTGAGCTTTTGTCTAGCACACAATTCTTTTCTTTTGTTAGTATATATGAGTAGTTTACCTGCGTTATGTCTGTATACCACTTGTATATCTGGTACCCATAGAGACTATAGTAGGGTGTCTTGATCACCCAGAAGTATAATTAACATATAGTTGTGACCCATCATGTGGGTGCTGAGAGTCAAACATTGGTCCTCTGAAAAAGCAAACAGTGCTGAGCCTTCTCTAGCCCCTATGTACAAATTTTTAATAGCCCCTTTAGGACCTTTGTTCCTTTGCTTTCTGTTTTCTCTTTAGGGCATCATAACTATGCTTATTATTCTGCACATGCATTTTTACTAAATCATACGCATGCACTAGGACTCTGGTGAAAACAGCAGGGTCCCCACTATTATAAATTGAATTCTGATGTGCTTTTGTTGGGCATGCGAGTTTTTATTTCTGTTGGCTAAAGTCTACTGTCTAGTATGAATGATCTAGGATTCTTTTCCACACTCAGTGGTTCCCAAATCAGAGCAGATTGTTGATTTTTTTTTTCCTCTTTCAATCATTTTTCTCTTACCACTGTTTAATCTCGTTCTTCTATACTGTATTGTAAAGACTGTTCATTATTCCTGGTAGGGCTGACCTTTTTTAGTTTTTCGAGACAGGGTTTCTCTGTATAACAGTCCTGGCTGGCCTGGAACTCGCTTTGTAGCCCAGGCTGGCCTTGAACTCAGAGATCCACCAGTCTTCATCCTAAGTGCTGAGACTAAGGTGTGTGCCACCACTGCCCAGCTAGAGCTGACATGTCTAAAGGAGCTCTTTCTCTGAAGCTTGGGAGTAAGAGTGTAGCTGCTGCTGAATCGAAGCTAGCTGAGGCTAGACAAGTGCAGACAATTGCATGTTTCCTCCCCATCTCCTCCTGTGCAATTAGGACAGAAAGCGGTGTCATTTCTTTTCTTAATACCTGTCCTCTTCTTTTGTCTCCTGAATCTAGGTGTCAACATTGCATATTTGAACACTGGCATCGGAGGACATAAAGCCCCCAGTTTGGCAGACCGGCAGCGTGAATACCTTTTAGACATGATCCCTCCCCGGTCTATATCTCAGTCCATCAGTGGACAGAAATAACGCCTGTTCCACTTGTACTGCCCATCCGTGAATCCTTTACCCATTTCTCCTATTGCCCCCCAACTTCCGTCGCATGCAGTGCCTGTACTGGTGCCTACCATACACGGAAAGCAAAACCGAAAAAACAGAAGACAAAAATAGACATCAACAAGAAAACACACATCCCGCCCTGCCACCTCCCCTTTATTTCACACTGCTGCGATCTCTCCTCCTGCTGCTCTGTCTTCTCTCTGCGATTTCCTTTAATGGTGAGGTGGATCTTTACCTCTGATAGAGGTCTGAATGAGGTCCTGGGGAGAGTCTAAGCCCGTTGATGTGTGTTTCTAAGGTTTGTTTATGCTATAATTATTATTATCATTTTTAATTATATTGTGTGTCTTCCCTTTGTTCTGTGGACGGTTAACACCCCCATCTTCTGTTTTCTTTCCTTCCCTACCTCCATTCTGCTAATGCTCCCTCTTAAGAAAAATACAGATGATATACAGTTCAGTGATCACATGCAGAGTGCAGTGGATCCTCGGCTGCCCAGTAGGACATAACTGAGTGTTAGGGACACTTAACCTGGGACTGGCATCCCAGCTGTGTTGGTCAGGATCTGGACAGTTTGAGAGGCTCTTTAAGAATAAGGAAAAGAACTTGAAGGGAGAAGCTTAAAACAAAAACTACCTGTAGGGATTGGGGGAAGAGCTGTGACATAAATTTAATAGTGTCCCAAAGAGGACTGCGACCAGACCCTGGCCTTTCGTTGCTGAGGGAATAAGATGATCTTCTGACCCCAGTGAGGATACAGAAGTCTGTTCCAGGCCAACCATCCCAAGATAATTCATTTTATTTTCTTTGTAAAAATTGTCTCCCATCACATCTTCATTTCCTCTTAACAAATGTTAATCTTCCTTCTAACTGTAGTCCCAGGAGTGACTGCTTCCAGCTGCAGGTGGCTGGCTGTCCTAGAAGTTGGAATAGGTGTAAGTGAATCACGTGACAGAAGGAGAGGTTTCTCCCAGCAGTCAAAATCCTTGCATTTTTCTATCCCTTTGCCTTCTTGAATGCTGAGAGATATGGGTGTAGCCCCTAATCAGGTTGGTGTCCTATTCCACTTTTGCTATGCTGACTATAGATCCAACTCCTCCGAGCCAAGCAACTTTTGTCAAACCAGCTTTGGACCTCAACTATACAAGTATTGTCTTCCCCAAGCTCCTTTCCCCAAAATTTTAATAATTTTGCTGTTTTTTTTATTATTATTTTTTCTTAGGCGCTACTAATGTAGATAATGAATTGAATTGTGCAATGTTGCTGTTCTGGGGTTAGGGAGGTTAGCATCCTGTTTGCCCACACTGTGGCAAGGAGGTGGGGACCAAGCTGTTGTGAGGTAAGGGAAGCCTGAAAATGAAGGGTTTCTGTTTTCCTCAGAGTGTGTGTGCACCTGCCTCTGCAGCTCTAGATGCCGTCAGAGTGGACTGGGGACACTCTGAGCAGATGGATGAGGAGTTGTCTGATATTTTGCCCTTGATAGCCACCTGAGGAAATCCCCTCATTTTTATTTTTAAAAACTAAATAATTTTTTTAAAGTAAGAAGGCACTTTTAAAATTATTCACACACAAACTGCACACCTTTCCCATAAAATTTGGGGGTAGGGTGGAAAAGGAAGCTGAAATCAAGCTCAGTTCCCCTACTCTGGTCTCTTTTCACAATACTCCAGTGCCACTGTGGGTGATTATACTGGCCCTACGGGCCTTCCTGGCTTTTCCTTTCCTTCAAATTCATTGAGCACTTAATGAAGGAGCAGAGATACGGCTGTGTCGGCTCCCCAGTGGGGAAGTGACCTGGAAGCTGGATGCTAGTAACAAGTAGTTTGAGCAGGTCATTTCAAGTATTTTTCTGGGGAATGTGGTGCCCCTGACTGTAAGTGGTGGGGAGGGAGGGGGGCTAATGGAGCTGGGTCTGGGATTATTTTAAAATTATATACATATATATATATATAAAGATATATTCTTACATCTTTTCTTTGCCCTCTGTGCTTTGAAAGCACTGGATAAATTGACTTTGTTTTTCTCTTCCACAAAATGGGAAGGTTTTTTTTTCTCCACTTTTTAAATGTTTTTCTTACCAGTCATCTTGCCTTGTGGCATGTCTGTCTAACCTCTCCCTACCCCGTGATGAAGTGCCATTTCTGTTAAGTCTCCCTGACCCCCAGCTCAGAGGTGCTCATAGGTACAAGGTGCCCAAGTTTGTCAGTTGAGATTAAAAGGAACAGAGAATGTGCAATACTGTCCAGCTGGGGCCTGTCCCTGCCCTGAGCTAGGCTCTCCCTGAGAGCCAGGCCACTTTGAATAGGGTTTGGAAATAAAATTATAGAAATGGGGAATGGTGGGGAAGGAAAGCCCTTATAATACAGTGCCTATTTAGGTGCTGAGGCCATAGGGGAGAGGGTAGAATCTTCCCTGTTTTTATCCCTTCAGGGTCAATTACATAGAAGCTGCTTATTAACTAGTATAGCTCTGCGGCCCTTTGCTCAGTTGCTGAGGTTTGATTTCTCCTCTTTCTCCCCATCTTCATGTCCTTCCCAGGAACTAGTAAGAGGGGTGAGATCTTTCTTAATCATGGTAAAGTGTTAGCCTTCCGTCTCCTCCCTTAATCCTTCCCTCCTCCCCTTTCTTAAGCTTCTACGTTTCACAGAGTTGATTGCCTTGTGTCCTTCCAAGCCTTTTTTTTTTTTAAACTCTCACCCTCAGGCCATGGGCCTTTAGATACTAACCCTCATGCCCCTGAGTTCAGCTGTCCTTTACCATTGGACTTTGGCTCTCTCAGGTATCAGCAGAGTGAGGACCCAACCAGCACACTCTGGCTTCCCTAGACCCTGAGGCACTAAAAGCCATCCTCAGCACCGCGTCTGACTCTGTAGAAACCTGAAAAGGGTGGATTAGTGGTGAGGCTGGGGTAAAATTAGGAGACAGGTCCTTATTTGTCAGTTTGTCACTGACCATAGCATCTGAACTCCCCCATCGCTGAATAAGTATTTTTCCTGCATTTTGGGATATATGTATGGTAGACATTTCTTTTTAAAGACACCAAGATAAATGTTTTCCTGCCTTGGTTACCTTTCCTTGCCCCTTTAAAAGGAATTAGCTATAGAACTGCTTTGTAAAGATGCTTCTTGATATTTTACTTTTGTTCCTTTCCCTAAGCCATTTCCATTCTTCCCTTTTTTCTAGAAGACATAACCCTTCTCTCCGCAGCCCCTTCCCCGACTCATCCTAGGTTCCCTTCCTTTTCATCAAGATCTTCATTAGCTTATGATATTTGCTGCCGAGATGTTATAACAAGGACTCATTCGTGTATATAAGCTATTTCTTGATCCATTTAAAAGGAATTGTACATTGTGTAGAAAAAAAAACTGAAAAAGAAAAAAAAAGCCCTAGCCATGGATATTGTGAAACTGTGTTATGTCATTTTGTAATGTGCCCGTTTGTGTATGATCCGTGCAAAAGGGTTTCTGGGGAAGGGGAGGGTGTAGGGAGACAGGGCTGAGGAGGGTGGGGAGAGGAGTGGGCCGGGCCCAGCACACTGAGACTGGCAGCTGCTCCAACCCCATCCCTCCTTAAAAGATGCCACCTCCCCCACCACCCACCCCTAATTTGTGCCTTGCCCTCCCCACCCTGGAGTAATCCCTCCAGGTCACCAGCACTGCCTTGGCAGAGCCCACTCCCTACCCTAACCTGCCCACTCTTCCTACCCCCAGCATTAGGTTGATACTGTGGGGAAGTGCTGGAGGTTGGGAGGTAGCCGAGGAATGGGGCAGTTCCTGGGGGCATCGAAACCAAGTATTATTATGAATTGTAATTGTATTTGCACTGTTTTCCCCCCTCTGATTGCATCAGCATATATACAATATACCTATATAACAAAATCCAGTGTCAAAGCTTTCTTATGCAAGGGATTTCCCCCAACCTTCAGAAAAAGAACCTCATGGACCTCTGAAAGGGTGGATTGTCAGGAGATAGTAGGAAGGAAGGGTTTTAGGCATCCTAAGAAAGTTACCTACACCATTCCAGGCTGTGTGCATTGAGGTGAGGCTTGCTCCTGTGAATTACAGGGCTCCAGGGCCAGGATTGTAGAAAATGAGAATCCAAGACACATGGAGGCACGGTGTGGATGCCTGGGACCTATAGACTTGCTGTGTGATCTTTAGTGGAGCTCAGTGCCTTCAGCCTGTGAAGTGAGGGAGGAAACCACTGGCCTCCACACTTAAGATCCCACAGTTCTTTTCCCACCTGCCCAAAACCAAAAAGCGCCTGAGGTGAGGGAAGTACTGGACTGAAAGATGAGGGAGGAACTGCAAAATGACTTGGTGTTACATGTTGGCCATGTCTTTGGAAAGTTACCAGTCCCTGGCTTCAGTATTGATGTTGGGAGAGGTGGCAGTATGTGTAGGATATTAAGCCAGTGACATTTTGGTCCTTGTGTTTCTAGCCATGTCACGACAGGGACTAGGCTCCAAGCCTCACCTTGTACTCAGAATCCTTAAGAATGGTTATCCAGTGAATGCCCACCAGGTTGGTAGCCAAGTTGCTGTCTTTGTGAGCTATAGGTGTGGAATTGACCTCATCTTGGTGACAAGGAGAGCTCAGATGTGGCCCACGTCTTTCCTTCCCTCAGATCTCATCTGAGCCCCCATAGGCAACTGTTGACAGTCTGACTCCTTCAGAGGCCCAGTTTATTCCATTTCCTGGGCTGAGTGTTTCTACTCTCTTAAGTTATTGACTCTGACGCCTGGAGAGAGCATAGGTTGATGGGTGAGGCCTTGGTGAAGGTGGAGGATAGATTGGGGTGGGTGGCGGGGAGCAGGGAGGTGGGATGGGCAATGGCCTTCCCTGAGTAGGGTGGGTGGGAGGGGAACAAGACCCTTTTGCACAACTCTCTTTAAGTTTCCTTTTTTTCTTTCTTTCTTTTTTTTTTAAATAACTCATTCTAATTTTCTGCATTGTGTTTGGGAAATAAAATGGAAAAACTAAGACCAATAGGAACTGGTTTTCAAAAGGTAAATACACTCCCATCTGTTTCAGAGACTGCTGAGAATTTCAGCAGTGAAGATTCAAATAATAAGCTAATTTTTGGAGAAAGGATAAAAAGAAAAAAACTTTGTAATATTTATCACTTGCAAGCTATGTTTAATAAAGAAAGGAATGGTTTCTAAGCTTTCCTGTTGATTGTGCTTTAGTGGTGGCCCTGGTGGGGTGGGAGTGGTTTGCTGAGAGAGTCTGAGAGTGCTGATGGCCAAGCTATGGCTTAGTCTCTACAGTCCCACCATGATACATATGCCTACTACCCCTTGTTTCTCTCTCCCCTCTCTCTCTCTCTCTCTCTCTCATTACTATTGAAGTCCTTACCTACCTCTGCTGCTGTTCCTCTCCACCTCTAGGACCCTACTTCAGCTGTCTGATGACGTAGTCTCAGGGTATTAGGAGTAGGAATCAGACTTTCCCTAACTGCCCTGCCCTCACACACACACACTTGTACTAGTCTAATAGAATATAATTATTGGTAGCTGGTTTCTCTGGACACGGATATCAGCATCAGAGATTCACACCAAACCTTAACATTTGGAATGTGTCATCCCCAAAAAGGCCTAGAATTGGTCTCTCAACACAAAGTATCAGTCATTCTGTGTTTTCATTATTTAATTGTATTTTGTGTGCATTGGTGTAAGGGCACCAGATCTCCTAGAACTGGAGTTAGACAGTTGTGAGATGCTACATGAGTGCTAGGAATCAAACCCAGGACCTCTGGAAGAGCACCCAGTGCTCTTAACACTGAGGCGTCTCTCCAGCTCCGCATTTTATTTCTAACAAACTTTTTAGATGACTCCCAGCTAAAGAAGGTGTCGTTTCCTGGAATACTTGATAGTCAGGACTGTGTCTAGCTCCTTGATGCTCTGCCACATTTTATACCCTTTATGTAGAGGAGCCTCACTGGAAGCTTGCTACCAATCCTATGTCAACTCCACATGAGCACAGAAGAGAATATTTGTGGGACAGAAGGAAAGATTGGCTGAGGTACTGGCTAGGGCTTGATCTTTACAAAGGTAGGAAACGAGTGACCATTTGCTGCTGGTTAACAGAAGGAGGCATCACAATTTTGAGGTGTTGCTTATTTTAACAAAAGATTTTAGGACTGAAACTGTCAATCAGACTAATCTCTTTAGAAGTAGAAATCAATCTGCCTGGCCTCTTGCTGCATGCCTTTAATTCCAGAAGTTGGGAGGCAGAAGTAGGCTGCAGATCTCTCTTGAGTTGTTAAACACAGAAACATGGCATGAAAAACAAAAAAGGAATAGAAATCAAGGGGTTGTAGAAATGGCTTGAGATTATGATCATTTGATCCTACTGTAGAGGACTTGGGCTCAATTCCTAACATCCATGTGGACTTGCCAAGAAGCACCATGCATGCACACAGCACACACATGTACCTCAGGCAAAACGTACATTCACATAAAAATTGTTTTGAGACACTTTGTGTAACCCTGACTGCCCTGGAACTCCTCCTATATAGACCAGGCAAACCTTGAACTCTGAGATCTGCCTGTCTCTACCTCCCTAATGCTGGGATTATGCGCGCATGCTACCACTACTCAGCCAAATCTTTAAAAATACAAACTCCCAGGCGTTGGTGGCACATGCAGGGCCGACAGATTTCTGAGTTCATGGCAGCCTGGTGTATAGAGTGAGTTCCAGAACAGCCAGGACTACACAGAAACCCTATCTTGAAAAAAACCAAGCTGAAACAGACATTGGGGCTGAGAAGATGGCTCGGTAGTTCTTCAAGAAGACCTGGGTTCAATTCCTAGCACCTATGTGGTAGCCTGTAACTCCAGGAGGGATCTGATTTCCCTCAGTTTGACTTCCACAGACACCAAGCACATGTCCTTCACAGATGTCCATGCAGGCAAAGCAGCTATATACATTAAAAACTTAAAAAAAAAAAAAAGCCAGGCAGTGCCTCCCAGCTCTCAGGAGGCAGAGGTAGGTGGATATCTGTGAGTTTGAGGTCTTTCTGGTCTTCACAAAGAAACCCTGTCTTGGAAAACAAAAGAATAAAGGAATTTCAGGCACTCAGGCACTGCAATACAAAATGTAGCTCAGCCTAGACGATCCAACCTAGGCAATGTATGTAACAAGGTACTTTTCAAATAAGTAACTAATAAGCAATGTTAGCAATTCACTCAGGTCTGTAGATCACTGCTTGCCAAAACGAGCACTTGACTGCTGAGGGCAAAGAATGTGAAACCTTGGGTGGCATCTTAGTTACGGTTCCTATTGCTCTGATGAAATACCTGACCAAAAGCAAGTTGGAAGGAAAACGTTTATTTGCCTTATACTTCCACATCATAGTCCATCACTGAAGGAGGCCTGGAAGCAGGAATTGATGCAGGGACCGCAGAGGGGTGCTGCTTACTGGCTTGTTCTTCATGGCTTAGTCTGCTTTCTTATAGAACCCAGGACCACCCGCCCCGCACTCAATTAGAAAATGTTCATCAGGGCTGCCTATAGCCTAGTCTTATGGAGGCATTTTCTTACCCGAGATTCCCTCCTCTCAGTTCAGGTAGCTTGTGTTACGTTGACATAAAACCCCCCAGCAAGGGCAATGGCTCTCAGTCAGCCTGCACAGAGGTGACACTGCACACTTTGAAGAAGCCCAGGGTAACAGGGTTGCAGAGAAAAAGCAGATGGCAGCCCTAGCCCTCCTGAAGTCAGGGACTCTACAGCACGGAGGCCACTGTCACACTGCTACCAGTGCTGGAGACCAGGATGAGGTCAGAGCCTAGGTGGCGGCTCTGGTGCAGTGGGCCTTGCATGGGGTATAGGCTGTAGCTGCCTCCAGGTTAAAGCCATTCTCAAGTGTTCCTCACAGCCTCTTGGAGACCAGCTTGGCATCTCAGGATCCCCTCTCCCCAGCCACATGACCCCAGCTCCATAGGGAAACTTAGACCCCTCTTGATACCTGGCAGGTCCATCCAGGTCTCCAAGGAATGCAGAGGAGACTGCTGGAGCAGTCTGCCAAACTGGAGAGTGGTGAGGAAGCCTGAGAGCGTAGGCAGTCTTCTGGAGAACAGTCCCAGAAACCTGTCAAGAGTCTAGAAGGGGTTGACTCAGGTAGCTAGGGCCCAATGACTGACATTGCCAGTACAGCCAAGTACTCACACCCTTGTGCCCAACCTTTCTCACCCACACATCCACACCCAGCTTGCACTGGCCATGTCCACCAGAGGGGTAGCTCTTAGGACACTGGCAGAGATGAACAAAGCCATACCTTGCAGATCCCTGAGAGTTGGGCATGGCTCTGGGTTCCCTATCATAGCCTTCTGGGCACTGGCTTGTTTGGAACCCATGCTGTTTTCCGCCTTGAATTGGTAAATAGCCTCATCTTCAACAGAGACTCTGTGTGCTAAAGAAAAAAACAGCCAAAACTCACAGGCTAAAAGAGGGGTCCTAAAGGATGCAGCTGAGACCTGCTCAAAGAAAGAAGGACAATCACTTGTATAGAATGGTAACTGGTACAGCAGGCAGGGGCAGAGCCATGGGTGGGTGGAGGTGCTTGGTGGAAAGGCTCTGTGTGTGTGTGTGTGTGTGTGTGTGTTGTGGATTATTTGTACACTGTGTGAAGGTGGGGAGAGAGAAACTACAAGTAGGAGGAGGAATTAAGTGGATGAGAGAGATGGGAGGAGACATGGAAGAAGCAGGATGACAGTACCTGACAGAGTGTAGATTAATAAAATGGGTTAATTTAGCTGGGCTATGGTGGCACACACCTTTAATCCCAGCACTTGGGAGGCAGAGGCAGGCAGATCTCTTGTGAGTTTGAGGCCCCTAGTTTCCAGGACAGACTCCAAAGCTACAGAGAAACCCTGTCTCAAGAAAAAGAAAGAAAGAAAGAAAGAAAGAAAGAAAGAAAGAAAGAAAGAAAAGAAAAGAAAGACGTGGGTTAATTTAAGTTATAAGAGCTTGGTGTGGGAGTCCCCTCTGTTTTTGCTGTGATTACCGTTTGATTAATAAACTGCTTTAGGCCTAAGCACAGAACTAGGTGGGTGAACTAAACTGAATTCTGGGAGAGAGAAGTCATGTAGCCACCACCAGAGGCAGACACAGGATGGAACCTTACCAGTAAGCCACAGCCACATAGAGATACACAGATTAATAGAAATGGGTTAAATTAAGATGTAAAAGCTAGCCAATAAGAAGCTAGAGCTAATAGGCCAAACAGTGACTTAATTAATAC